TGGAATGTCCAAGGACTTATTTGTTCCAAAAATTGTCCAAGGACTTATTTAACATATTTTGGAATGTCCAAGGACTTATTTGTTCCAAAAAATTGTCCAAGGACTTATTTAACATGTTTTGGAATGTCCAAGKACTTATTTGTTCCAAAAAAAAGTCCAAAGACTTAATCATTCCAAACAAGAAAGTCCATTGGTTTTTATTGTACTTTTCCCTATATGTATTGATAAACTACTTTTTTTTATAACCATGGGTATTTGGGTCAACTTATACACACCTTAATTAATTTTATGGAGTTCTGAAGAACAACCAAGATAATCTCTAGTGGCTATTGAAGGGTTCGAACCGGTTACCTAATGGGGCAGAGCCATAAAGGCTCTTTAGTGGCCTTTGAGGGATTTGAACCAGTGGCTTAATGGGGAGAGCCCTTAAAGATCCAAACATTATTGCCAATGGAGCCAACCCCTAATCCTAAGTGGCATTATTTAAGCTAAATTGTTATTTGATTGTTGTGCTGAATAAAGAGTTTAAATGACAGAACTGAATGTTAAAAGCATCGATTAGAACAGTTGTTTTCGTAAATATGGTGAATGGACAATTCTGGATGTTTTAAAAAGTTGATTTAAGTGTTTTCTTAAATAATAATGCAGACTGATGATATTAATCATAACAATGTTAAGAAGTATTGCAATTAAATTGTAACTAAATCTTCAAATTTTGTTTTGATTTGTAGCGAATAAATTGAAGCAAAATAGCTATTAAATAATGTCTTTAGTTTACTAGAGATAATGACATATTATTTTAGCTCGATGGAAATAAAATGCTTTTCCTTAGGACCCTCTCAAATAAAAATAGAAAACAAAGTAACTAGAAAGATTGTTAGAATCGCCTTCTTCTAGAGGGATCATCTAGAAAGCGAGTCGTTTTGAATTGAACATATTCAAACAAAAAACTGATATAGATGTTATGGATATAATTTTTTTCTAAGTTGGTTCACATCTGGAATTTAATAATTTATCCATTTTCCATAAAGGAGTTGAATGAAACCAAAGTTTCATATTCGGATGGTATTCCAAAGATGAAGAGAGAAACAAAGAATACAAAACCACAAAGGTGGTGCTTGGTTGGTTTGAGCTTGACTCCAAAGATCAAAAGTACCTGGAGGTCTCAGGTCAAATCCAAGAAGGAATAAAAATCTCATTGTGGCCACGGAGGTTCAAAATGCGGTGACTCTGAGCTATCTACAAAGCAGGTGGTAGCCCTGGAATTAGTCGGCTCGCATAGCGGATTGGATATCCAGATTCCAGGTTAATAAAAAAAAAGCAAAGAATACTACTCTGTAAACAAAAAGTTTGAGAGTAAGCATTACACAACCTCCAAGATCATTTTTCGAAAAAGCAAAACAGGAAAAGATAATAGATCCTCCATTTTTATATCACATGTCCTGTGACATCAAGAAATGAATTCTAGAAATAGAAAATCGTAAATCCTAGGAGACCAAAGGTTACAATACCACTAGGCTAAACGCCATTTGGTAAGAAATTATCACTTGCAAATGAATAATATCATACAAATTTTAAGGAGACAAAAAAGCTTAAATCTTTTTATGTTTTATTATAAATTATACTTACAAATGACAGTAAAAAAAATACGAAGTTAGTCGACTACCTACAAAAACCATGACGTGACCGAACCTTGGTCGGGTCGGGCAAAAATAGAAACAAGCACAGCACCGCCTTCTTCCGGTCCATCATGGGCCGAGCATGTAGACCAAAGGAAGATGGTCGGTCTTACCAAGCTACGCCAACCCGACTTGCATGCATAGCAATGCACTAAATACAGGTAATGTATCATGTTGACAAAATACAGTATCAGACAATATAGTCAAACTAAACGAACCCAGTAAGTCCCATACAAAATAGGGTTATGGAGAGGGTATGATGAATTCAAACCAAATACATAATAAGATTCTTCTCTTTTTGCAAACCAGAGGCTTTTCATGGAAACAACTGCTTTACTATCTAGGGTAGTAGTCAGTGTACATCTCACCCCTCTGGACTCCACCTACGAGTAGGATATACTAGACTCTTTTGGTTTGATATTGCCTCTTAATCTCTTTGTAAATGTCTAAAAGTAAGAATTCCAAATGTGGTTATGTAAATCGAGAGTGTTACGCATCAACACCAGGGCCTGGATATGCCGGGAGGCTCATTATTCGCTTATCGACAACAGGTCCACCGACTGTAAAATGATAAAGGCTTTGATAGTTCGATCCCGTCAACCCTAGAACATCGTGCACTGTCATAGTACAAAAAGTAAGTCAACGATGCTTACCCTTGGTATGTTTGGAAAATTTACGAGCATCAAAAGATCCCAAATCAAATTAACGATTACACTACCAATAGACTGCAACCACTTTTTGTAATGACATTACCGGTAGACTGCAACCGATTTTTGTAATGATATTACCAGTAGACTGCAACCACTTTCGTGATGTACACTGTAACCACTTTTTGTTAAATTAGGGGAGCACACACCAAATTAAAACGGGTGCAAGGCCCCTAAATGTTTTTCCATTGCGTCAGGACCATGGAGCGGGGGCACGGGCAGTCGGGCACCCCCTAGCACTTAAGTGAATCCGCCCCTGCTCCGAGGGTAAAAAGTACATGGACCTTAAAATCTAGCAAAAATGTTGATAAATTGATTAAAGAATTACATACCAGGATTATCAAAGAAGCAACCGATGCCGGTTGCAGAAACGCCAACCGCATGCGCTTCAAGGTACAAGACCTGACCAAGAACTCCCGTTTCCCAAAACAACCGAGGATACATCCACACGCCCTTGTTCCGTAAGGTCGGTTCAAGATGTGCCACCATACCAAGGCTGAAGCAGCCATCGCTCGCTATATCCTACACCAATAACGACAACGGCTTAGCATAAACTGTCATGTTGTGTAACTCATCTTATTTATCATCTAATACTCGAAAAAAATGCAATTCTTAGGCCATATTTGGCAACTAAAAAATAGCTTCTTTTTGAGCTTATTGAAAAAGCCCCGTTTGGTTAGCCATAAGTCATCTTTTTGTAAAGCTCCTTCAGGTAGCGTTTCAATAAGCTACAGAAAGTTTTTTTCCCACTTTCCCCCCCAAATTTGCCCGCTTGTATTTTTCCAATAATTTTTTCAACATGTCCATTTAGGTACTTTACATTGTCATCTTGCTTATCAACTAGTTTTTACCAAATATGACTAGTTTATCAGCTAACTTATTGGCCAACTGCTAGCATGTCAGCTAAACATAACAATATAAAAATTCCACAAATTCGAAAAGGGAGAAAAGAAAACCCTTTTTTGATAAATTTATAGTAAAGTACGTTGCATTTTTAGATGTAAACCAGGTACCAAAATGAATATTTTGAAGGTATGTTAACACAAAACATAAAACGGACCAAATATACATTGCATTTTCATGCAATTTGCACTCGTTAACAAGCTAAAAAGTTTCCGATCATTAAAAAGATGAGTACCTGATGGCATGAAAGATGTTTCGAGAGCTCCATACAATCGGCTCTTCCAAGTTCATATAATGGCAACTCTGAAGGACAACCCTCGGGTTTCTCCCATTTGAAGTCGGACCTCGTGGCTTTCTTAAGATCATCGAAATGTTCATCATTCCTAACAAGAAAATACAACCCTTTTGGCAAACCAACAACTCTATGCACAAATAATACGCAATGCACTTCACTATCCCAATCCATCGCTCGAAATGGCAATCCCAATTGTCTTTTTTGCTTATCTTGAAAACCCGAAGGAAGACAATGGAGTAAAATCTGATAAAATGTGTTTCTTTCTATTGATGTAACACCGTCCATATCAACCGCACTCCTACGCTTCCTAACAAGTTCCCTTAAAGTTATATTCACATGTGAATTCTCATTACAGTTCCCACTTCTTGCGAATCGATTCATAATGAATTTTGTATCTAATGTTAATGGCTTCTTCACTGTCTCAGATGTTCTATAGATTATATCCCAGCATATATGCTCTTTGCTAAGTGAATTAGGCTCTCCTTTCCAATCTAATTTAGAAAATTCTGAAATCGCCATGCTCAGATTCTTGTAATTTATATCAAATTCACCAGTTCCATTGGGGAAAACAAGAAGCAAACAATCAGGATGTTCGAATTCAATCGAATTTAAGTTACCTTTCACTGGTCTAGATGGGATTTTGAACTCCGGATAGATTTCAAGCCCCATCAGTTTCTTCAATTCATCGTGTCCCAATCCATCCAGCAGCTTCACATCCCACCCCATTCCGGCGGCCGCCATCGAGACTGCTCCGATGGCATGGCCGACGTCGTGGTTACAGTACCGGAAAGCTCTCTCCCCGTACTTCCAAGCTTCCCTCCAGAAAATTGAAGAAAACCCAATAAGAAAAGAACCATTTGGAAAGAAATTGGTAAAGAACCCAGATGGAATTTGGGTTCTAATCTCCAGCGAATGTTCCTTTGGGGCGTAGTGGGCGACGAAACCCGAATCGGAAATGGATTCGATCGGTGGGGATATGATGTAAGCTTCAGTTGGATGTAAATTGCCACTGCTAGGGTTTACTCTAAGCGACCATGTGGAAAACCCAGTTGATTTCCAAGCTGATAACGCCAAGGAATCGTAGAAAAACTCAGAAATGGTGGATTTGGTGATGGGTTTCGGAGGGGGAAGGGAATTGAAGAGGGAATCGTAAAGAGGGGAATCGTCGGAATTTGGAGGGTGGAGAAGGGGGCGGAGTGGGGGGGAGATGTAGCGGCGGAAAGGGTTTGGTTGGTTGGCCCAATCAAGGCCACGAGGACCTCTGGCGTAGTTTGTGAATGAGTGTTTGGTCTGATTGTGATAGGTTAGAACTTGGGATAGCAATTCTTCTGAGTTTTCTTGGACGGTGGATGAAGAGATTGACATGGTGAAACGTGGTGGTGGTGGGTTTCTGAGATTGGCGGTGAGAGGGCGGAGGAGGGTGGTGGAAGGACGGAGGAGACGGTGGTGATTGTAGAGTGGGAGAGGGAATTTACGTTGGATGGTTTGCATTTTGGTGAGCATATGCTATATTCGATTGTTTCACGGCTTACATGAAGTCATGATTCATGAAGATTGCCACCCAACTTCATAAAATGTTTGACTATTTAGTCAAAGGTATAAAAACATTTATCTATATCATATTATAAAGTATTTGACAAAAATTCTTAAAAACGATTTTTTATGTATGAAGTATTATTTATTGATGTATATTACTTAAAATTTAAGATTACAAGTAAATTGTGCATAAGTACAACTTATTAAAGCTCCATACTTGAATTCGTCTAACTAACTACAGATAAAAATAATCAAATATTGGATAAACATCTCATTTTAAATATAAAAAAATATAAAATATAATTAGGATAATCATTGATAACTAACATAATATTTAGTTATTATCTTTTAAAAATGATTTTTATGTACGAAATACTGTTTATTGATGCATATTACTTAAAATTTAAGATTACAAGTAATTGTACATAAGTTAACTTATTAAAGCTCCATACTTGAATTTGTCAAACTAACTGCAGATAAATATGATCAAATATTGGATAAACATCTCATTTTAAATATAAAAAATCTAAAATATAATTACGATAATCATTGATAACTAACACAATACTTAGTTATTATCTTTATAAAAAATTGAATTAAAAGTTACACAAAAAATAAGGAATTAAATGTTTAAATTCGTGTAACTAACTGCAGATAAATATAATTAAATATATGATAAACATCTCATGTTAAATATAAAAAAATCTAAAATATGATTAGGATAATCATTGAGTTCTAACATAATACTTAATTGTTATCATTATTAAAAATTATATTATTAAACCAAAATTAAGTTACTTCTCACGTTAAATTAATTTAGGGTAAAATGCGCAAAATAGCAACCTACTTTCACAAATTTCCTTATTATAGCATTCTACTTTCAGTTTTTCTTATTGCAGCAATGTACTTTCAAAATATTTTTTATTAGGGCATTGTATTTTCAAAAATTTACCCATTATAGCATTGGGTAACCTTTTAAATTAAATTTACCTATTATACCAGGTTTCTTTGCCACCTCATCGTCCACGTAGGCTGTACACTTGTACGATAGTGCTGACATGACATTTTTTATTACAGCATTGTACTTTCAAAATTACTTTATTATAAAATTACTTTACTATTGATTCAGATTTCAGACTTCAACACCATCTTTTATTAATCAGAAGTAAGACTTCGAACTTCAACACCTTTTAAAAAACAAACTATCACCTTAGTTTTGCCTTCTCTTAACCATCGACACAACACCGGACCCCATTACCCAAAACCTACCGACCTCCCATTTATCATATACACACTTACACACGCCCCACCGAGACCCATCTTACCGGCGGTGAAACCCAACACAAGCTGCACATCASCTGCAACTATTTTCCACTCTCTTCTTTGGGGTCTCATGTCTTTCAGGTTCTTCTTAAGATTACACCACTACATATATAGACATATATATATATATATATATATATGTATATATATGTCGTCACACAAACCCAACTAACAAATAAACAGTGCAGGTGCACGTTGTTTCGAAAAATTAAGTTAACAAAACATTTGTACTTGATGCCTCACAGATTATCAGAGAAGGAGATCCGGTCCAAAGAATGGTGTTTGTAGTTCATGGACGAGTTAACAGAAGTCAATGGCTAAATCGAGGGATGGTTGCAACGAGCATATTGGAGTCCGGAACTTTCTTCGGAGACGAGCTACTCTAGTGGTGCCTTCGTATTCCATTTATTGACCGTTATCCTGCTGCAACTGCAACATTCACCTGTGTCAAAGCAACAAAAGCGTTTGCGCTAGATGCAAAGCATCTAAGCGATGAGATTGAGTCGATTAGGGTTTAGATTTGATCAGGAAGAAGATGGTGAGAGTCGATTAGGCCAAAGAGGAACACGATGTGTGCGATTGAGGGTTTGTGGGTGAATGAACAGTCATCAAGAAGAGGAAGAGAAGAACGGTCTAAACAATGAGAGGGATGAAGGTTTTTCATTTTCAAAAATTGTTTTTTACATTAATTTTTTCTTAAATGACAAGTAGGATATCCATGTGTAACATGTTATCCTACATGGTTTCCATGTCATTTTAAATTTGCCACGTCAACAAAGAAAAACCTGTTCAAAAGGTAACAGGTTATCCAATGCTATAATGGGTAAATTTTTGAAAGTACAATGCCCTAATAAAAAATATTTTGAAAGTACATTGCTGTAATAAGAAAAACTGAAAGTAGAATGCTATAATAAGGAAATTTGTGAAAGTAGGTTGCTATTTTACGCATTTTGCCCATTAATTTATAATAAAAAATTTGAATTAAAAAAATACACAAAACAAGAACTTTTAAATAATTAATTTGATACAAATATCGATATATATTTTTTTTCAAATTTTTATGATATTTTATTTAAAAATAAAAAATTATCGTTTTCTCAAAACCACATAAAACCGTACTATATCGACAAAGATAAAGAATAAGATGAAACATTGAAATCGAGATATGTCTCGATGTGTTGCACGAGGATTCTTTTAGTTACTAATGAAAAACGAAATAAAATAAGCTTTAAAACAAAAATAATAATATTTATTATAAATAATTGTTTTGTGACATCATAATTTTACAAAAATTAGTAATAGTCACGTGCATAGAATAACCGATTTCAAGAGGAGTTTGTATTTAAGTGTGGATATGACGAGTGCTTGTCTCTTTGATACGCTTGGTTTATACTAGACATGGCAAAAAACCAGTTCCAAATCGGGACTAAATTGGTCCTAGGCTAAAACAGTAACAATTTAGAACGGGACCGATTGCGTTGAAAATACTAAGGTCCGGTTAAAGGTACTTGTAACCGGTTACAATAATTGATCTCAGTCTTAATGTGGAGACGAAATCGAATCAATTGATCATTGTTTCGTAAGTTGCACGAAAAGTTCGGATGTGTAGACAAAAGTGTTCAGATGGTGGGATTTCATTTCGCTCAACCCAATTTTATAGCTGATGTTTTCTCTTCGAAAGACCTTCCTTAGTCTCAGATTTTTCAAAAGGGATATGCTGGGGTGTTTCGAACTATAATGTACGTGATTTGGACGTGTCGCAACAAAATGGTTTTCTCGGAACAGACTCGAAGTCTTTTGATATTCAACTTCTTTCCTACCAAAATGATGCAAAAAGGTGTAATATTTCTTGGTTATAGTTTTTCTTTTTCTTTGGTTTTATGGCTTTTGTCATTTTTTGATTCGACATTCTCCTTTGCTTTTGCTTCTGCTTCTGCTTCTGCTTTTTATAGGGGTTGGTCTTTTGTATGTTTTCTTATTAAAAATATGCGACCTTTCAAAAAGAAATACGACGACAATCTAGTTTGAAATTTATTAACACAATCAAGTTAATTTTTATGTAATTTATTAAACTGGAATACATGATTTACTTGTATGGCTAAAACGTCCTTTGCAATTCTTTGGAGCATACGAAACTTGGAGCCATTGCACTTCCACCATATCAAGATGTCAAACCCTTCTTCATTAGGCAACAACTTCTCAGCCAAGTAATAATCCAATTCACTCGTTTCCAAGATATCATCATGACACATCATAGACTCAAAATCCATCTCCCATGTAGGTTTGTCGAAAGTAAAATCATCTACGTCTAAGGCACTAACGATAGATTGTCTTTTCCAAGAAGTTCCTCAATTGTGTCGGCATACTTCTTTTTATACTCTTCAAACAATTCAACACATAGGTCATGTATCCTCATAACCTCTCTTTTCGCTTCATCGCCTTAGATTTTCGAAAAGAAATAGTTTATTAACTTCAACTTATATGTAGGATCTAACACAATTGATACACTTGTAACCTCATGTATGACACTCTAACATTTGTTGAATTTGATCAACATAGATCATGCCATTTCCCTAATAACATCACGAGGAGAAGTTTTCCAGCTCAACAAAGGCACTTTAACTTCACAAACCAACAGGAAAAAAGATGTTTGACATAGCATATAAGGTTCCTGAAAACTTTTTCAAATACACGATAAAACAACCTTAATTTTTCACAAACAATCAATGCTATTGCCCATTCATCTTCACTAGGCAAGCAAACATAACTTCTCTCCTTTTTGCTCAAACGACAGGAAACATCCTTTTACTCCAAAGCAACACTCAACATAACATATACGGAATTCCACCTTGTCTTGCAATCAAGAACTAATTCCTTCTCACAATTTACACTTAATTGTCATGCACATCTATATAATGTGCTGTGATTGCCATGTAACCTTTTTTTTGGTTACTTGTTGTCCACATATATGAAGTTAAGGCAATCCTACTCTCATTCTCCTCCAAACACCGCAAAGTGTAACCTCTCTGTTTTTCATAAATCTTCATTATGTCACTTGTTGTAACACCCCCGTCCCGCGTGGTCAAAGACGGGTGATGTCACAATTGGAATAAAACCAACATGTGCTATATAAAACAGAGCGACTAATAAAATTTACCAAAAGATAATTAYATAACCACAAACGGAGATAACGTATCTCAAAATACGGTCCCAAAATACAGCATGTCTACATTAGCCATCAAAAGT